AAACACCATCCACTCACACTCTCAAATCTTTTGGGTTCTTTCTTTAACCCAATTCCTGGGTTATATGTGTTGAGTTAAATTTCTGGGTTATTTTTCAGATCCATACCCATTTCTTGGGTCATCTGGATTCTATTGTAACCCAATTTGAGGGTTTTTTTGAATGGGTTAATAATTATGGGTTATTTTGCTGAGAGTAACATAACAATTGGGTCAGAACATTGGGTTCAATTGACTCTACATGGTTTCTAGGCCTAATGGCAATTAAGGTGACCTTGTGAACTTTGACTTTGATTATATACATACATATATATATATATAGGTCACCTTAATTGCCATTAGGCCCAGAAACCATATATATATATATATATATATATATATATATATATATATATACACAGTATATATAGTCTGCAGGTGGCTCGGGTAGCTATCCCATTGGGTGGCTAGGGTAGCTCCATGGGTAGAGGATTCGGTTTCCAACTGGGGTGTTGGGGTTCCAATCCCGCATGAGACACATCTGTGTGGAGCGAACTATATCCACCAGTGTGGGTCCTTAGGCAAGACCCTTAGTGCTATGGCCGACAATCAGCTAGATAAAGCAAATGGAAAAACAGGGTATAAGTCATAAAGCAAAGCTCCCCAAATGCAAACATCAATTTAACCTAACATCGTGAGTCAAATAAACTCAAAAGATTGGGTTAACTTTATCCTTTGTTTGTGTTAATCCGAATAACCCAACATTCTGGGTCAAAATAACCCAATAAGTAGTGGGTCCCTTTTCAACCCTGCTGTTGAAAAACAACCCATCAAATACTGTGGGCTTGATCAACAGAACACCTGAAAAACACATTTTAATTTATCATCACAATAATAATAATTCATCATTTATGGGGTTTATGTTTTCATCACTGATACTTGTTTAGCCCCACAAATAAGAACTGTATGGGTTTTAAACTGTACCTTTCCATGGACCACTCTATTATAAGCAGTGCACGTTTCTGCAAGGTGCATACTTCTCGGCAACAGCGGCATTAACAAAGCACTTACGATCCGCAACATTTTGGGTCCATTTGGAGCAAATAGGGGGCTGGGTGACATCATCGCCCAAAAGTTTAGTGTGTAATAAGTTAATAACCGTAGCAGCACAAAAGAAAATTTAATGGCAAAATGGGCACAAACGACGCACTAACAAACAGCACCATTTCGGGTGCATTCGGAACAAATAGGGGGCTGGGTGACCTCTGGGTGACCTATGAAACAATATTTAATCATTTAAAAACCATAGCAGCTCAAATGAAAATTTTAACAGCAGAAACCAGCACAAACAAAGCACGAATGAAGCAGACTATTTTCCCAACATTTTGCGTGGGGTGGGGGGCCAGCTTCATGCAGGTCACAACTGCTTAAGCAAGGAGACATACAAAGCAATGTAAGATTGTGAAGCGCTGTTGTGTACCACTTTATGCCTTCAGGAATCAATTGGTAGGTGAGTTTGCTAATGGTTAACCAACATTGGTAGCATAAAGTACATTGCCTCAAACGTAGCAAGCAAACATGTTAGCTGATGTGCAGTGTGGTGTAGTGTGGTCAGAAATGTTGAACTACTGCTTAATGGACTCTCTGTCTGGATGTTTCAGGTGGATTGGAACAATCAATGGATGACTTTGTGACGTGGAGTGGAGTGAATGCAAGATACAACCTCCTGTTCTGTATTGTTTACTTTGAAAAGATAAGAAAATCATATTATTAAAAAAAGGAAAACTGCTTAATGTTTACAAACTCCAAAGTTCATTCTCCGTCAGTAAAATGGAAATGGAGCTGTTAAAAAGAGAAATGTTATGGAGAATATTTGGGGAATCATGTATATTTGAATGATGGAATGTGTGATGTGTACGATGTATGTATATTATTTTTGTGTCTTCTGTGACTTTTGAATTGTAATAATTTACTTTAATTAATAATATTAAATTAATAATAATAAAAATAGCAATGATAATATTAATAATAACAATTTATAATTAATTAATATGATTAATTAAGTAGAGCAGTCGTCCAATAACCAGAAGGTTGGGGAGTTTGATTCCCCCTATCCCGAGTCTGTCTGTCTGTTGTGTCTTTGGGCAAGACACTTGTCCCACCTTGCTCCTAGTATGTGTCCTCCACTGGCGTATGATTGTGAGTGTTGTATAGTGGTGGTCAGAGAGGCCGTAGGTGCAAACTGACAACCACATTTCCGTCAGTCTGCCCCAGGGCAGCTGTGACTACGGAAGTAGTTTACCAAGGTGTGACTGTGTGAGCGAATAAATGATGTATCCAATGTAAAGTGCTTTGAGGGTCCCTGGTAAAGCACTATATGAAATCTGATGCATTAATGTTATTTAATATTATATTAAATATTACTGTGAACCCTTAGTTGGGTCGAATGAACAAACCAATTGGGTTATATAAACAATCCAATTGTTGGGTTAAGTGAACCAACCCAACTAGTTGGGTAAAATTAACCCAGCGTGTGTTCTGTCCAATATTTAACCAGCACTGGGTTGGGAAACTACCCAAATTGGGTTGTTTTAACCCGACGTTTTGAAGAGTGTACATTGAAGCAGATTTGCCAGGACTTTGTTTGATTTATTACTTTGTTCATAGTTTTTGTATTTCAGCTGTTGGAGGATAAATTAATTATTATTATTATCATTTCGTGATTATATTGTTTAATTGAAATTGAAGGGTTTGTAATTTACTCAAGGTGTGCTCTGTGTGCTTGTCTGCATAGTTATCTGTCAATTCTCGTATTTATCCTCTAATTATTTTGTAGTTTTTGTTCTTGCTTTTTCTGATGAGTAGAGTAGGTGATGATTTTCTCTCTAATCACTGCCTTGCCTGTTTCCCAAAGCAATGTTTGTGAGGTATTTGGAGAGTCATTTGTTTCCAAAAAGGATGTCCACTCTCCTCTGATTAAGCTGCCGAACTGTGGATCTTTGAGTAATGACGTGTTATAGCTCCATGTAGGGCGAGGTGTAACTGGTGATTCTATCTACAAGTGAGAGCTAACTATAATTGGATTTATTCTGGTGTCTAGAATATTTGGTATAACGGAGTTGCTGGATAAAAAAATGTCAATTTGGGAGAAAGACTGATATTGAGGAGAAAAGCAGGAGTATTCTCTTGCAGATAAATTTTTAAGCCTCCAGCTATCGTCAAAACCATAGTCTTCCATATAATCTTTTATTACTGTTGCTGATTGAGAGTCTCTTGATTTGGCTGATCGTAATGATCTGTCTACTGCATTGACTGTGCTGGTGTCCGGCATGGTGCTCTGTCAGTAGTAGTAGCTGTCGATGTAATTCTCCAAATCCGCTATGTAATCCACTTTGTTGCCGAGCTTGCCTGGGTGTGTGACAATAGTTCCATGTGTGGTTTAGGTTATTTATATCTTGGATCTGTTATTCGTCTCGTTACTGTTCAGCTAGCTGTAAGTCGGCATGTTGAATCTATCCTCCAGTTTGGGAAAAGTCACATGACGTATCACTTGACGCCTCTCCCCTTCCTTTCTTACCTCTCCTCCCCTCATTAGACCTCATAAATTAGTAAGCCTCATTGAGAAATCAGGCTCTATTTTCGTGCCCGCCCGCGGTGTGGAGTAGGGTTCGTCGTGGAATTTTAGTCAAGCTGGGCATAGTGGCACAGTAGGGGGAGGTGTTGACAGAATTAGCTGGTGCAGTGACATTTTCATGCCGGCCGGTGGCACAGGAAGTGCGCCGAAAGCTTGCTGATTCAAACCTGGTCAGGCGGAGGGCAGCTGGTCAAGTGGTATTTTAGCAGTGCACATACATCACTAATGCCTCACAGGAATGTTTCCACGGTGTCAGGCACATTTCAGAGCAATAAATAATGAACAACAACCAATATTCAGTGCAATTATCTGAGCCAGCACATACATTAAAATCTATATAAGTTTATATTATCTGATGAGCGCATTTGGCATGCGTTTTGACACTCAACCTGATCGAATTAATACAGCTTAAACCACATTAAATTAGTCATCCAGTATTAATATTTAATTTAATTTAATTCATCCCCTGTCCCCTTTCTCTCTTCCTCTCCCTCTTGTTTCTCCCACAGCTCGACCCGGACATGTCTCCATGTCCTCCTCCCATCCTGCTGCTGCTGCGGTGTCAAGGCTGACCAGATGATTAATTTTTGTGATGAGTTATTTACTTTGAAAATTTGAACAAAATAATTAAAGAATCTTTCATTCAAAATGACCTGTTTATCCGATGTTCCCACGTCCTTAAAATTGGAGTGAGGCCTCTGTACAAATATTATAATTTTCGGTTGCGTGGGCAGAGTTCATTTATATGCCAACATCAATGAAAGAAAGAGCCAGGCCACGGAGTGTGATGTGTCCTTTGGTTCAGATTTTAATGCCATTATTGGCATTCATTTATGTTGTGATCTGTGCACACAACCCACCATTGTCATGTGGGGCTTAAATATATGCAACTTATTGTGATTGTCTTTATTTGTGGAAAAGGGTGTTTGTCTTTCCAGTGGGTACAACCTTACACACACTAAATCCCTCTGTGCTTATAAGAGACACCCTCCACAGCACTCACCATGACACTTGTTGAGGGGCTGCATCCTGTCGCCATCTTGTTGTGTTGCTGTCTTCAGTCATTTCTTCGACTAGTTCATCAAATTTGCAATACACCTCATCAGCCGCAGATTTAAAGGTGAGGAGAGGAGCTGGTGTGATTGGTGAAAACAGGACTCGGCTGTGTTAAACCCACCTCACACTTTCTCCCCTCCCTCTTTCCTACTTACACCGCTGGAAGGAGCTGAGTAAAGGAGAGGGGATGCTTACGCTGGGCTGCACCGCTCACCATGATATCAAAGTGCTTGGGCAAGCCTCATCGGCCCAGCGGACCTTTCCTACGCAGCGCCGACACTACTAGCGAGGAATGAAACTAAAGTTTATCCTGTGATCTCTCTATGTACCATTATGAGCATTTTACATCTATTTTTTAGGATTATGACAATCTTGTGTTCACCCTGTGATTTAAGACTTCGCATACTGCTAGTATGAACACCAAACATTGTAACTTAGCAGTTTTGTTGTAAATGTGGAAAAGTATAATACCCTCCTTTAAGTGTGGGATAACATTTGCTGTGTATGGTCACGATATAAATAAAAATAGATTGATTGGTTTGATAGAGCTGACTGTACCCTGGGAAGAGAGGATAGAGGTGTACGAGTGCAAGCTTAAGAAATACCAAGCCCTCATCCTCGAGAGCCAGCAAAAGGGATGGAAAGCCTGGAACTTGCCGGTGGAGGTGGGCTGCAGTACCTGTAAAGGTGAACCAGTTGCGATACCCTATCATATTTTGCATATGAGAATCTATGTGTATCTTAAACTAACTGGATTGTTGTTTTGTTTGCTGTTGAGAGACTAGCTCTGCATCCAAAGGCCAAAAGAGAATTCAGTGCTGTCTTTTAGGCAGTGGTATGACATGAGTATAAAAAATAATGGGATAATATGAAAATGAAAAATATTGTTTCTCTGTTAGGGTGTATTTCTACTTTGGTGACTCAGTTTACATTTTTATCTTATTGCAGGTCTGATGACTAAGATACAATCTTGCACCAAGTTTCTATCAGGAATTAAATTACTGTGGTGTCCTCGGTAAAGACAGTCACATAGTTGTTGTGTTTTATACTAAAGTGGATACCTCTTTATGGGACTATGTGAATGCCTGCACCATCAGATACAGAATTTCTGCATCTAACTTATTAACATATCTAACATATTAAACTCGGGCTTGGTGGGCCTTGTACCCATTTATTATGCTGGTGACATGCCTTTCTTCGTGGTTGTTACAATTCATCCAGCCTTAATACAATAATCACAGCGATGATATTCATGGTCTGTGTGATGGCTGATGAAGTTCAAGAGTAAATGTAATGCCCTGAATTTTCCAAAGTAAAGATGCAATTTGACTTTTTAATGCAATAACCAACTAACTAATCCAGTTTGTTAAATGTGATCAAAGTTCATGCACAGCTCTGTCTGTAATAACATGTTTGAAATACTTTTTTTTCTCGTTTTTATGTGTCTGTTAGGAATTTTGGTAAAAACAAAGACATGAAGAACATCACCACCACTTTGGGGCAAGGACAGCATCTGTTCTTCAATAGGGGGAATTCACACTGATGTCACTCAAGTTCCAGTTTACTTCCAGGTTAGCGATTGCAAGGTATCGGTGTGACTTCTTCCATGGAGATTCTATGCACTGCTTTATAATCCAACAAATGCCATTTAAATAAGAAAGGTAAAATTAACATTAATACTTTTGTTCTCTTTTACTCTGTTTTTTTCTTAATTATGTTATCTGTCTTACATACTTTATAATTCAGAAATTATCTTAAATTTGGCTGGGAATTTATAATAGAAATCAATGCCAATGATAATGATATTGTCTGCCTGTGTGTATCACAGGCTTATTTTTGTTGTTGTTATTTTGTTGGAATAATGATAAAATAGTAGAATAATAGAGGATGATGAAATGATAGCACTTTGGACGATAGAATCACCCAAAGTAATCATTGTATATTGTATATATTGTATATTTAGGACCACAATAAAAAAGAAGTCAGAAGGATTTTTTGAGTTACGAGTTTAGCTTAAATGTGTGACTGCACCTCATGATGTTTACATTTCTGTGTAAGTGGCTTTGAATCTTTGTCATATCAGGGCCCATAATTTATTTGGCATTTAAGTCACAGACTACTATGTGATGAGATTTAGCCTGTCAGTCCCAAAGTTAGAATATATTATAATCCTCAGTGGACACCAATTATTATTGTTTACCCTAATGTATCACAACTCACTATACTGACTCTTGATCAAAGCTCTTCATCTTAACCATTTCCATGTATTATTCTTGCTCTTTTCAGGGTATGGAATTCACAAAGTCCCTTGCCCATCTGCTAAAAATGCGGTCCAATGATGTTAAAAGAATTGTGGCTGAGTCTTCATACACACCATGTTCCAAACAGGACAAAGATTAAAAGTTCTTCATTGAACAAAAATAAAAAAATAAAACACATCACAAATGCTTTATTTGCCAACAGAATAACATTTCATCAGTTTCATGGGTGAATACATATTTTTTCAGAGAAATATAATTTGGAGTTTAAACAAATCTTTTGATGAAAGATTAAAGCTCTATATTCTGATATCACTGCTGTTCAGTAACAAGGGTCTCCCCATCTCTCCAGCTCCTAAATAAACAGAAAATACAGTTGCAGGTAGGTTGTCAGTTTCAGCAAATCAAGAGAGAGGACTCATTTATCATCTTAAAATTTCAGGGTGCTAACAGCACTAACCCAGTCATTCCAGGAGAATCTTGAAGGCAATGCTGGGTGTTTAATGTGAGTTCATCCGCTGGTTTGGGTTGGCTTTTATAGATCCTCTGATTTAAAATGTTCACTGCACACTTGCGGCCTAATTTAGTAAAGCTTTGCATGTACAATAACATGTGCAAACTTGATAGATCATCAGAACATGCAAAATACTGGGAGGAGGGGATGCAAATGGAATCATTTAGTACCCACAATGTGACTTGTCAAACCCGGAAACTGATTGCAGTTGTTATTTTGCATCTATATTTAACACATTTGAAAGGCACATGCAAACTAGCACAGCGTTACACAGAAAAGGCTGCGGTCATTGTGGGGAGAAGGAGATAAAAGTGCAATGATAAACTATGGAGAGAATTTTATATTTAAATGATGCACTTGAACCAAGAGGTTGCTACAAGTCTGGTCTCTCTGTATTATCTGTAATTTTTGAAATTTATGCTAGATTTTTTTCATATTTTTGTTGTCTTTTTGTTGGCTGCTGATGGATACTTCTGCTGGGCGAAGAGTTTATTCAAGAGAAGAGCTCCTTTCATTGAGAAAAAGCAAATCTGGACCACAACATACAATTCCAGAGGACATCAGGAGGTGTTATCGTGGTTGCCATGCTGGTGCAAAGGTGAAGGCAAAGCTGAATGATAGGAGGTGGCGACATAAACCCTTTCTTCCATCAATCATCATGGGAAATGTCAACTCTCTGCCCAACAAAAGCGATGAGCTAGAGATCTTGGTGAAGACTAAGAAAGCATACCGTGAGTGCAGTTTCCTGTGTTTTATTGAAACCTGGTTGAATCAAAACAACTCAGACTCCAGTGTGGATCTACCTGGCTTCACTCTCATAAGGTCAGACAGAGATGCTCAAGCTAGTGGCAAGAATAAAGGAGGAGGTCTGGCTTTATTTGTCAACCAGAGATGGTGTAACCCTTCACACATAACTGTGTATTGATATTAAACTGTTGGCAGTTGCTCTTCGGCCATATTATGTTCCCAGAGAATGTAGTCATATCATAACAGTAGTTGTTTACATTCCACCCAAATCAACTGAAGAATGTTGCGATATTTTGCAAAATAGTGTTGCCAGGCTACAGACTCAACACCCTGAGGCACTAATAATAATATCGTGAGACTTCAACCATGTCACCCTCTCCTCTCACATGACTGGATTCACACAGTTTGTGAACTGTCCTACCAGAGAAAACAAGACCCTGGATCTGCTGTATGCCAACATCAAAGAAGCCTACAGAGCCACTGCCTTACCACCACTGGGCAAGTCAGATCATAACTTGGTCTATCTGCAAACTTGGTACAGACCTTGTGTGCTGAGGCAGCCTGTGATCAAAGTCAAAATAAGAAGATGGACACCTCAAGCCAGTGAAGCTCCAAGGGACTGTTTTAAATCAACAGACTGGAATGTGCTGCTGGAAACAGATGTGGATAGTATGAACATTGATAAACAGGTTGACTGCTTTACTGATTATGTCAACTTCTGTAGAGACACAGTTATATCCACAAAAACTGTTCGCTGTTTCCCCAACAACAAACCCTGGATCACAAGAGACATAAAAGCAATCCTTAACCAGAAAAAGAAAGCTTTTAAAGATGGTGACAAAGAACAACTCAAACAAGTGCAACAAGAGTTGAAGAGGAGACTGAAGATGGCAAAGCTGGAGAACAAAAAGAAGATAGAGAATAATCTACAACACAGCAACATCCCTGAAGTGTGGAGAGGAATCAGTACCATCTCTGGACACAGCAGTCAAAAGAAAAGACAGCCAGTGGTGGGCGATGTGAAAAGAGCTGATGAACTTAACCTGCTCTTCAACAGATTTGACACTGCTGTCACTTCCACTTGCACTGCTACTCCACCTTCCTCTCCGCAACAAATCTCCACTACAGAATCAGAATCATAAGGGGTTTTATTGTCATTGTCGATGAACAGGATTCACAGACTAGGAATTTGTTTTGGCATGATGGTGCAACAATAAACAGAGAGAAATATAAAATACTAGAATAAACTTCAACTCAACTTCAACACAGTAAAAACCAATTAGTGTCATGGCAGCAAGTGCGAGGCTGTGAGCACAACGCTGAACCAGCCGTCCCAAGATTGCTAAATTAAATGGAAATTTGATCTTATACAACACTCAAACCAAACTGGAATCGTTTGCGGAGGAATCCATTGAAGATTTGGAATCCTACATCGACAAGATTTATCACAATATGTCGATGCAACCGGACAACAAGCGGTCGAGAGATCAACTGAGCTCGAGCGACCATGAAGACTCGAGCATTGCAGCCGACCTACTCCGCATACGCGAATCCATGGGCATAATGGAGAAACAACTACAGAAGCTGGATCTACTAAAAAAGCTAACAGACGATGTAGAAGAATTAAAACATTCCGTGGAATATAACAACTCCTTGATCGACGTCCTTAAACAGGACAACGCTTCACTTAGAATGGAAGTTAACACTCTCAAAAAACTGACAGCTGATCTCCAACAAAAGAATCACAAAATGTCGAATGACATTCTCGACATGCAAAGTAGGAGCATGAGAGACAATATAATAATCCACGGACTTCCCGAAACACAAAAAGAAACTTACCAGTCCACAGAGCAACTAGTGAAAACTTTCATGAAGAGCACCCTAAAGATGGAGGAACGCGAGGTGGACGCCATCCGGTTCTCCAGAGTACACCGGGTCGGACAAGCAGAGTCCTCCCGACAGAAGAGTCGTCCCATAGTGGCCAAAGTTGTGGACACGAAAATGAAAATATCCATCATGGGAAGAGGGAAAGAGCTACGCGGTACCAACTACTCCATCAGCGACCAGTACCCACCGGAGATCCTGAGGAGACGCAGACTGCTTCATCCCGTCATGACAGAGGTGAGGAAAAACAACAAGAAGGCTCGTCTGGTCACAGACAAACTTTACATTGATGGGAAACTATATAGTAACCCCGAGATCACACACTGGCTCTTTGGAGGAGACACAAACACAAGCCGGTAACACTCATGTCAACAATCGCGGATAACAAACGTCATCAGAGCGACGCATTGCCATAGGAACTTATCGCCGCGACCAGTGGGAGCTGCAGCAGACTCGGCACGGTGAAGTCCCTTTTTTCTTTGTTTTGTTTTGTTTTTCCTTGTTTACCAATATAACTCGCTTTTTTGCTTTTGAAATTGACTTTAAAAGAAAGCAGCTTGGGCACGGCTGGTGCACAGCATAGTCCTTTTTGATTTCCCTTTTTTTCGTGTTGTTGTTTCTTGTTTTTTTTTCTTTTTTTATCTCAAGCACTGCAAGACCTTATTTTTTGTTCGTGCACCCACCCACCCACACACACACACACACACACACACACACACACACACACACACACACATACACACACAAGTATATGTACACACTACTACCACTTCATACCCTATTCCCCCCTTCGGTCTTTCTTCTTCTTCTTCTCTCTCTCTCTCCTTCTCTCTCTCCCTACCTCTCTCTCTCTAGCTCTCTCTCTCGCGCTAAATTATGTCGACTATTAAGTTTATAAGTTGGAACATATGTAGAATTGGGAGTCAGGCCAAACAGTTGAAAGTTATTAATCATATCCTCAAAATACAAACCGATATATGCTTATTGCAAGAAACTCACCTAAGTTCTATAAGAAGTACTGTCCTGGAATCTACACATTTTCCACACGTCTTTACTGCAAATTATAATTCAAGGCAGAGAGGAGTTGCAATTATGATTAATAATAAAATTAAATTCAACCATAATACTACAATCTCGGATCCGGAAGGGCGATATATTATTATTAACATATCTATAGATAATAAACTATTTACAATAGCTAGTATTTATGGTCCTAATAATGATGACCCTACATTTTTCCATAACCTTTTCTCCATTATTAACAATCTACCCAGCTCAGATATAATTATAGGTGGGGATTTCAACACAACATTGGACCCAGCAATGGATAAATCAAACACAACAGGGAAGACCAGAATACCTCAATCCACTACAGTCTTGAAAGAATACATGGAGGATTGTGGACTTGGCGACAGCTGGAGGCTAAATCACCCCACTGACAGGGAATACACTCATTTTTCAAAAGTTCATTGTACATACTCCAGAATCGATTTCTTTCTCACTAGTAACTCTTTACATTCTGATATTTCTGAAACAAAAATTCACTCAAACACAATCAGTGACCACTCAATGGTCTCTGTCAAACTGCATACCAAAACAATCCTCAGTACTTCAACTAGATGGAGATTCAACACGTCACTGCTGGAGGACCAAGAATTTAACAGTTATTTTAAGAGAGAGTGGGCATTCTTCATGGATATGAATGACTCCCCAGACACCCCTGCTACTTTACTCTGGCAAACTGGGAAGGCTGTCTTAAGAGGCAAAATAATTTCATATTCATCATACAAAAAACGGAAAGATACGGAACTGCAATCTGAACTGGAGGGAAAAATTAAAGAACTTGAAAACCAGCACGCAAGTAATCCTAGCGACCATATATATGGGGAATTACAGAAATACAAAATGGAGCTGAGCGATCTTATAAACAAAAAAACTAAATTTCTTATAGAAAGACTCAGACTCAACACATCTCACCACAGCAATAAGTCAACAGCATATCTGGCAAATCTGGTTAAACAAAATAAAGAAAAAACAACCATCACTGTAATTAAGGATTCAGCAGGGACATCATACCACAACCCAAAAGATATCAACAATATATTTAAGAATTATTATGAAGACCTGTATACATTACCTCATAACCCAGATACTCGAGAGATAAATACATTTTTGAACAATATCAGTTTACCTCAATTAACATCAGAACAAACTAATTCCCTAGAACAACCACTAACCCCAGGTGAATTTCAAGAGGCCTTAAATGAAATGCAAAACAATAAAGCACCCGGCCCAGATGGCTATCCTGCTGAATTTTACAAGTATTTCTGGCCCACCATCTCCCCCCTCTTTTTCAGAATGATTAATGAATTTCATACAACCAATAGAATCCCTCCTTCTATGAATACTGCTTTAATCACTTTGCTTTTAAAGCCCGATAAAGACCCCACACATCTATCCAGTTATCGTCCTCTCTCTCTGATCAATACAGATATTAAAATCATAAGTAAAGTATTGACAAATAGGATTGAAAAAGTAATCTCATCAATTATTCACCCGGATCAAACTGGCTTCATTAAAGGAAGGCAATCATCCCATAACACTCGGAAATTATTTAACTTGATGCAACTCTCAAACAATAGAAAATCTGAAACGATAATCCTCTCATTAGATGCACAGAAGGCTTTCGACAGAGTAAACTGGCAATTTTTATTTACAACATTACAAAAATTTGGTTTTTGGGGAGTCATTCACTAACTGGGTCAGAACTCTATATACCTCACCAACAGCCGCTATCATAACTAATGGTTTAATCTCACAACAATTCACGCTTCACAATGGTACCAGACAAGGATGTCCACTCTCTCCCTCACTCTTTGCAATTTTCTTAGAACCTCTTGCAGCCAGAATACGACAAGATAATAACATCAAAGGTATTACATCATTATCCACAGAACACAAATTAATCCTCTATGCAGATGACGTGTTGATTCTCCTTCAAAAACCCCATTCATCATTACCAGAATGTCTCTCCGTCATTAAATCATTTGCATCTCTCTCCAACTACTCGATCAACTTGACAGAATCCACTGTTTTACCCTTATGTATGGACCAGAGGGATGTGGCAGCCCTCACCTCACAATTTCACCTCCCTGTAGGAAACATCAGATACTTAGGAATTCATATATCCTCCAAGCTGTCAGAGCTGTTCAATTTAAACTTCACACCATTACTTAAAATAATACAAAACAACCTCAAACGCTGGACAAACCTACCCATCTCACTTTAGGAAAGAATCTCAATAACAAAAATGTCAGTCCTCCCCCAGATTAATTACTTATTCACGATGATTCCCTCCCTTCCAAACCCACCCTGGCTCAGTTCTCTTAACACATCAATCTCCCAGTTCTATTGGAAAAACAAAACACCCCGTATCAAATTATCAACTCTACAAAAACCCAAATCTCTAGGAGGACTGGAAGCACCAAACTTCGAACTATATCACCTTTCAAGTCAGTTAAAACATCTAAAACAATGGACCACACCTTCAGACCTTGACGCACACTGGCTAGAAACTGAACAAGCACTATGTAATGATATAAATCTCTCAGATTTGCCATTTATCAGTCAGACGATTAAACATAATAAATGCTTCCAAAATATTTCCATAGCCTCAGCCCTGACAGCTTGGTGGAAAACCATTCACATCAAAGGGTCCACGGTTGCACCATCCACTCGTTCACCGATTTGGAACAACCCAGATTTCACAATAAATAGGAAACCACTAAATTTCAGTTCATGGAAAGATAAAGGCATAACACATCTTCACCACATCATTAAGGAATCAAAAGTCATCAATTTTCAACAATTAATTAATATATTTGGCATTGGTGATAATCAATATCTCCACTATTTACAGCTTAAGTCCACCATGCACTCAAAACTTACACAAACTTTCAACACCCAGGACCAGTCCACCATTATAGACGACTTTTTGAAAATCTCTGGTTGTAATAAACTTTTGTCCAAAATATACATATTTCTAAATAATTCTGACACCTCCATCTCACTCCCAGCCTCAAAATGGGAACAGGACCTCTCCATTACTCCTGATGCAGACTTCTGGACACAAATTTGCAAAAATAACTTCAACTACTGTAAAATCCCAAATTTACAACTAATTCAATTTAAGGTCAATCACAGGACACATTACACGGGTGAGAGGTTAAACAAAATGGGTTTCATCACATCAAATAAATGCACTCAATGTACACAGAACACCATAGACAATTATTTTCATGCTTTCTGGCATTGTACATTGGTTCAGCAATTTTGGGTCCAGGTCACAGAGCATCTATCACACATACTAGGTTGCCACATCCCTCTGTCCCCCAAACTTTGCCTTCTAGGTGACATGTCAGTTTTACAACTTAATAAACACACTAAAACTACATTGTACACAGCTCTAGCTGTCGCCAAGAAAACCATCCTTCTAAACTGGAAAGCAAGAGATCAATTAAACATCACCCACTGGAAGAACTTACTCGTAGATCAAATCTCAATAGAAAAAACGTCAGCATCACTTAATCATAACACACCTTGCTTTAATAAAACCTGGTCTACATTTATTAATAAACTGACTTTCAACGATCGCCGGACCCCCCAAACCACAGCATCCATAAAATCTGGCCCCATCTTACTCACATCCACATAATCAGCATAAACACATAAACATTTGCATCTGCCCCCATGCATGACATCGGACATCCTGCCGGACCTGCTCTCCACTTGAGCTTACAGCTTTTATGCTGGTCGGTCAGGGGTCTCCTTGATTTAGAAGGGGGTTTGGAGCAATGGGGGGGGGGGGGGGGGTGGGGACCGAAGGGAAAATGAAACAAAAGCTTCATACACACACGTGCACACATTCACATGCATACACACACTACTTTAAGATACTGTTAACTGTTTTTGTTTCTGTCTTGTCTGTATATGTACCCACCATCACTATTTTTGTGTTTTTGTTTTGTTTTGTTTTGTTTGTATGTTATATAAAATAAAATTTAAAAAAAAAAAAAAAAAATACTAGAATAAAAACAAATAAGAGCATGCAAGAAGTATATGAAGTATAAAAGTATAAAAATATAAAATTATAAAAGGTTATGTACAATGCTATGTGCAATAAGTATAAAATAAAAGGCTATGTACAACTAAACAATCTAGAACAACAGTGCAGTGGGAGGAGTGCAATTAAAAAAATCCGAAGTACATTAAACTAAAGTGACCAGTGATGAAGTGATGGAGTTAAAGTGACTGAGTTATAAAGTGTTCATGAGTCTAACGGCAGAGGGGAAGAAACTACAACTTCTCCCCTTCCTCCTCCATCTCGTTCAAATGTCTCAACCACTTCAACTGCCTCCCTCCTAGATATAAACCCTTTCTTCCACCAATCATCATGGGAAATGTCAACTCTCTGCCCAACAAAAGCGATGAGCTGGAGATATTGGTGAAGATTGAGAGAGCATACCGTGAGTGCAGTTTCCTGTGTTTTACTGTGAATCAAAACAACTCAGACTCCAGTGTGGATCTACCTGGCTTCACTCTCATAAGGTCAGACAGAGATGCTCAAGCTAGTGGCAAGAGGAAAGGAGGAGGTCTGGCTTTATTTGTTTATTCCTCTCCGCAACAAATCTCCACTACAACTTCTCCCCTTCCTCCTCCATCTCGTTCAAACGTCTCAACCACTTCAACTGCCTCCCTCCTAGAACACCAGTCCTTGTCTGTCACCGAAACAGGGGTGAGGATGGAGCTTGGAAGACTTTGTCCTGGGAAGGCAGCTGGTCCAGATGGTGTGTGTCCAAGGCTGCTTAGAGACTGTGCTACAGAACTGTGTCAACCTCTCCACAAGATCTTCAACATGAGTCTACAGCTGGGGCGGGTACCTGCTCTGTGGAAAACATCCTGCATTGTGCCAGTACCAAAAACAGAATGTCCTGCTTAACTCAATGACTATAGACCAGTGGCCCTCACTTCACACATCATGAAAACCCTGGCTGATTCTACGCCTTCTGAGGTCAGAGACAAACTGTATTCCCTGCAGTTTGAATACAAAGAACACATTGGAGTGGATGATGCTGTCCTCTACATACTTCACTGTGCCCTGTCTCATCTGGAGGAACCTGGGGTTTATGTGAGGACCATGTTCTTCGACTTTTCAAGTCCATTCAACACCATCCAACCCACCATACTCAAAGACAAGCTCACAGAGATGAGAGTGGATCCTTCCTGTGTTTCCTGGATCGCAGATTACCTGACAGAAAGGCCACAGTTTGTCAGGCTGGGGAACTGTGTTTCTGGGACATTAATGAGCAGTACAGGGGCTTCACAAGGGACAGTGCTGGCGCCATTCCTGTTCACACTGTATACATCAGACTTCAAATACAGTACTGAGTCCTGCCACATCCAGAAATACTCAGATGACACAGCTATTGTGGCATGTATCAGAAATGGACAAGAAGCTGAGTACAGAGATCTAATAAGAGCCTTCAGTGACTGGAGTCACAAAAACTGCCTCCTCCTCAGCACCTCAAAGACAAAGGAGATGGTCATAGACTTCCGTAGATCCAAACCCCCAAACACCTCCATAGGTGTTCAGACACCTATGGCAGAGGCAGTCCGACGGAACTCCGCCGGGCCCACCACCGCCGCCCCGGACTGAAATGGCAGACCATCCCCGCAGCTGCTGGCATCCACCGCACCGCCGAGTCCTCGCAGCCCGGCCACTTGCCCTGCTTCAGATACAGGAGCCATGCAACCCCCGCCGCTGTTTCCCCCCACCACCTTGATCGTCGGTGACAGCATCGTACGAGGTATTCGTTTTTTTAATGCCATCACTCGCTCTTTCCCCGGTGCAACTGTCGCCGACATCACAGCAAAACTCCCCGGTCTTCTCCAGTCACTTCCTGCCTCTATCCACCGCATCATTGTTCACGTTGGCACCAACGACACGGCTCACCAACAGTCTGAACTGACAAAAAACGACTTCAGAACACTTCTCGATATCCTTCAGTGCAGCGGCAAGTCTGTTTTTATAAGTGGTCACCCTGCAGCACCCTCTCCACCCACTTCATTGACAATTTTAATCTGTTCTGGAACCGACCCCCATTTTTCTCTAATGACGGACTTCACCCAAACAAACTGGGCCATTACACACTTGCCACTAACATCCAACACCCCCTCCTGGTCCAAATAGCTACTGCACCCTCCAACAACAGAGTCTCCTTGCCAATCTGCCATCTCACCAGGATCTCGCCACAGCTTCTTCATTCAAACAATTACAACTACTGGACCCTCCCGCTCAAATCCCATGCATCTAAACAGAAGGACAAGAAATCAAATAAACCTCCGCTGCCTTCCCCCTGCCTCTCTGCCCACCCCACAGCCCACTCGACCTCTTTCCACTCAACCAAGCCACCCCCAACCCCCCCCCCCCCCCCCCGTTACTCCTACCTGCACCAACCCCGCCTCACTGGACGAGGCGGCAGCGTCGCAGTCATCCACAAACCAACCCTCAAGACCACCCCCGTCCCCACCCTGTCTGTTCACTCATTTGAAAATATTTCCGTCAAAATCCCCGGCCCCACCACTCTGGTCATTGTCACCATCTACCGCCCTCCAAAGCCCCACCCATCATTCCTCTCTGATTTCTCTGACTTTTTCACCCACCTAAGCACCATCTCATCCTCTGTCCTGCTGCTTGGAGACTTCAACTTCCACATCGACAACCCCACCTGCAAACAAGCCACTGATTCCTGGATCTGCTTGACACCCTCAACCTCACCCAGCACGTACACCCCCCCACCCACTCCCACGGCCACACCCTTGACCTCGTCTGTTCCACCGGCATCTCCATCCACCATCTCTCAACCATCAACCTCTATATATCTGCCCACCTGGCTGTCACTTTCAACGTCCCCCCCCCCCCCCACTTCACAGTGAAAAATGACTAATTTCTTAAGAAACTTTAAATTAGGGCCCGAGCGTAGCTGCTAAGCAGCTGCGAGAGCCCTATTATTCCCCAAGTGGTTTTTCTTTGTTTCTTTAGGGCCCGAGCGTAGCTGCTAAGCAGCTGCGAGAGCCCTCTTGTTCCTGTAGTTTCCTTCTTTTGTTATTAGGGCCCGAGCGTAGCTGCTAAGCAGCTGCGAGAGCCCTCTTGTTCCTGTAGTTTCCTTCTTTTGTTATTATTAGGGCCCGAGCGTAGCTGCTAAGCAGCTGCGAGAGCCCTATTATTCCCCAAGTGGTTTTTCTTTGTTTCTTTTTTCTTTTTCCTCCCCTTTGAACTGGAAAATGGCCCACTTCCCACTGGCGAAAACTCATGAAATTTGGCAGGACGACCGGGCCTGGTGAAAAATTCGATATTCTGAAGTCGCCCAAACAATAAAATGCAAAATGGCTCCATAGCGCCCCCTAAGGTGAAAATTCACATGACGGCTGTACGCTTTGTCATATTGACACAAAAATTGACACACATATGTATCTCAATAAGATCTACAAAAAAGTCAGTGCGGGCGTATTTGTCAAATGTACGGTTAAAGGGTTATTTCGCATTTTTTGCCGATCCGCACACATTGGAATTTCGCTAACTCCTCCGAAGGCTTTTGTTCCACCGGCACCACATTTGCTCAGGACAATCTACACCCCATGGCCATTAAAAGTTATTCAAATCATGACGCTGCACCCCACGGTTTAGGTTCTAGGGGGCGCCAAAAATAACCCTAAAATCCACATATTTAAAAGTCTTATAACTTTTTATTTTTGTCCTCACTGGCCTCCAAGTTTTCTAGGATGATGCAATGTCCAGCCATCAACACATCTGTGAAGGAATTTTTACTCGCCAAAAGAGCGCCCCCCATGGCAGGAGAAAAAAGTCCATTTTTTCTTGTCCCCTAAGGTGAAAATACACATTGTAGAGTGTCACGCCTGTACGCTTTGGCAAAATGACACAAAAATTGACACACACATGTATCTCAATAAGATCTACAAAAAAGTCAATGCGCGCATATCTGTCAAATGTACGGTTAAAGGGTTATTCCGCATTTTTTGCCGATACGCACACATTGGAATTTCGCTAACTCCTCCGAAGGCTTTCGTTCCACCGGCACCACATTTGCTCAGGCCAATCTACACCCCATGGCCATTAAAATTTATTCAAATCATGATGCTGCACCCCATGGTTTAGGTTCTAGGGGGCGCCAAAAATAACCCTAAAATCCACATATTTAAAAGTCTTATAACTTTTTATTTTTGTCCTCACTGGCCTCCAAGTTTTCTAGGATGATGCAATGTCCAGCCATCAACACATCTGTGAAGGAATTTTTACTCGCCAAAAGAGCGCCCCCCCATGGCAGGAGAAAAAAGTCCATTTTTTCTTGTCCCCTAAGGTGAAAATACACATTGTAGAGTGTCACGCCTGTACGCTTTGGCAAAATGACACAAAAATTGACACACACATGTATCTCAATAAGATCTACAAAAAAGTCAATGCGCGCATATCTGTCAAATGTACGGTTAAAGGGTTATTCCGCATTTTTTGCCGATACGCACACATTGGAATTTCGCTAACTCCTCCGAAGGCTTTCGTTCCACCGGCACCACATTTGCTCAGGCCAATCTACACCCCATGGCCATTAAAATTTATTCAAATCATGATGCTGCACCCCATGGTTTAGGTTCTAGGGGGCGCCAAAAATAACCCAAAAATCCACATTCTTAAATGTTTTATAACTTTTTTTTTTTGTCCTCACTGGCCTCCAAGTTTTCTAGGATGATGTAATGTCCAGCCATCAACACATTTGTGAAGGAATTTTTACTCCCCAAAAGAGCGCCCCCCCCATGGTAGGAGAAAAAAGTAAATTTTTTCTTGTCCCCTTACATGAAAATACACATTGTTGAGTGTCACGCCTGAACGCTATGTCATATTGACACAAAAATTGACAATCATGTGTATCTCAATTAGATCTACGAAAAAGTCAAAGAGCGCGTATCTGTATATGTATGTACGGTTAAAGGGCTATTTTGCATTTTTTGCCGATTCGCACACATTGGAATGTGGCTATCTCCTCCTAAGGCTTTAGTCCCACCGATACCAAATTTGCTCAGGGCAATCTACACCCCATGCCCATTCAAAGTTGTAAAAATCATGACGCTGCACCCCACGGTTTACGTTCTAGGGGGCGCCAAAGATGACCCAAAAATCCACATTCTTAAAAGTCATTTTGGCCACTGCAGGAGTACAGAGTACTGCAGTTCTAGGGGGCGCCAAAGATGACCCAAAAATCCACATTCTTAAAAGTCTTTTTGGCCACTGCAGGAGTACAGAGTACTGCAGGATACACACACATATACACACACGCCAACATACACACACACACACACACACACACACACACACACACACACACACACACACACACTCAGAGTCTGTTTTTTAGCACCTGCAAAAACATGCTGTTTACATATTTGACAAGAATGCAGAGGCTTCCTTTTGCCCCTGAAAAAAATCTAATTTCAAACACAACTTGACTGTTCATTTCTCCAAAAGACAACCATGAAGCTCCATCCAAACCTGAAGCAGATAGTTGGTGCATGTGTACAGTAACCTGAGGGGAGTGAGGTGACTATTTCTGAGGAGAACATGAGCAGTGAAGATTCACCTTGGAGCTAGAACAGGGACGTGCACATGATTATACAGGGGCAGGGGCTCAAGTTTTTTCCAGTCATTTATACAATATGGAAATTAATGTGAAATTAAACCACAAATATGTGTGATGAACTGTTTTTAAAACTTAAACTTCAAATAAAAATTGTAAACTTCAAAACATATGCAAATTTTTAACAAAGAACATAGTAATTTACCTCTATTTACATCAAAATGCAGGCAATGGCCCAGGCGTTCTTTGTAAAATTATTTACAAAACACTGTATAGTCTCACAAATGTCACTTTTTATTTATGCCACTACAAAAAAACATGATGTAAATGATGCATGATGTAAAACATGATGTAAAAAACTTGTGTAGATCCTCCTCTATGTCAGTCCATGTGTAATTTTTCCATAATTCTTTGTTTTTTGCAGCATTTTTGTTAGTGTAACTGCAGATTGTGCTGACAGTGTCTATGGCACAAAAAAAAAAAAAAAAAATTAAAATGCCTCAACATGAACCCCTGGTGGTCTCTGAGGGTGAAACCTGCTAACTGCTGCAGCTCTGTCAGCTTCAGTCTCCCATGCAGAGCTCTGAGCGCATGTGTGGCTCTGCACCCTTAGCAGCGTTGCTAACTCCTCAGTAAGGAAAGCCTGCTTCATGTCAGAGTCTCTAAACTCCAGAAGAAGTCGATAAAAGTCCCTTTCTTTCTAAAAAAAAGTCGTTAGGGGGTCTGAAAAGTCATTGAATCTAACAACAAAGTCGCTAGGTTTGCAACTACGTGTCCCAGACTGCATCCCTGCTGAGAGTCCCTCCCTCCCTTCTTATGTTGCAGGAAGAACGTAAGCGCCCGCCCCTTGTCAATCAGTCACCATATAATTTTGGATTGGTTGTTGTGGTGAAGTTTTCCACCAATAGGAGAGATGTTGTGGTGTGTTTTTTTTTTTCTTTTGGCAAGCCTTTTCCGCCTGTAAGACCTGTCGCTAATGTCTGCATGCTATGTTTTCCTGTCTCATACAGCGCGATCGAGCGCCGAACGTGATCAAAATAAGCAGAAAAAAAGTATCGCGGACATAATTTATCATAACTCTGGTTTTATTTGGCCTATCAACACAATTTAAAAACTGGTATATAGGTTGAGGTCCTCACTTTTGAGATAAGTTGAAACGGAGAGTCAACGAGGCTCCGTCTTGCAGCTACATCCGGTTAAATATGTCATGTGACTTGAACGCACACACAGACACACACACACGCACACACACACACACACACACACACACACACACACACACACACACACACACACACACTCAGAGTCTGGTTTTTAGCACCTGCAAAAACATGCTGTTTACATATTTGACAAGAATGCAGAGGCTCCTTTTGCCCCTGAAAAAAATCAAATTTCAAACACAACTTGACTGTTCATTTCTCCAAAAGACAACCATGAAGCTCCATTTCAAACCTGAAGCAGATAGTTGGTGCATGTGTACAGTAACCTGAGGGGAGTGAGGTGACTATTTCTGAGGAGAACATGAGCAGTGAAGATTCACCTTGGAGCTAGAACAGGGACGTGCACATGATTATACAGGGGCAGGGGCTCAAGTTTTTTCCAGTTGTTTATACAATATGGAAATTAATGTGAAATTAAAACACAAAGTATTAATAGAAAGGTAATGACTGTCCTGTGTAGGTGACAGTGATATCCAATAGGCTAGGCACTCACGAGGCTGGCTGTGGCAAGTGTAAGTGAAAGCAACACGCACTGGCAGGAAGAACAGCAAACGCCGATGAAGGAAAAGGGTCTTTGCAGTGATGGGCGTTACCAGAGAGGGCGATGGCCAGAGGACACAAATTGGACGGGGAGGCAGCACGTTGGGGGGGGGGGGGGGGGGGACGCGACACGGCTCGGGCCCGCCAGTGCCCCAACGGGGTCCTAGTTAGGGCCCGAGCGTAGCTGCTAAGCAGCTGCGAGAGCCCTATTATTCCCCAAGGGGTTTTTCTTTGTTTCTTTTTTAGGGCCCGAGCCAGCTGCAGAGCAGCCGGGCGTAGGCCCTATTATTCCCCAAGAGGTTTTTCTTTGTTTCTTTCTTTCTTTCTTTCTTTCTTCTTTTTCCTCCCCTTTGAACTGGAAAATGGCCCACTTCCCACTGGCGAAAACTCATGAAATTTGGCAGGACGACCGGGCCAGGTGAAAAATTCGATATTCTGAAGTCGCCCAAACAATAAAATGCAAAATGGCTCCATAGCGCCCCCTAAGGTGGAAATTCACACTATTGACTGTCACGCCTGTACGCTTTGT